ATCTAAGTGATTTAATTTAATGCTCAAAACGAAGCATTTCAGTAAGATGCATGATGACATCATGGTTTTTAAATCAAGATATCCCAATGCATCTATAACTGAAATTGAGAAACACCCCAAGTTGTGAATTCTCTAGATACTTAGGAGTGGTAGCAGGCTCACACGTACTCGTTCTTAAGAAACGAAGCAAACATTTAGTAATTTAAAATTAAATGAAGGGGAATCGGTGGTTTTTACATCAACACCTTATGTATGCGTATTCCAATAAACATGGGTGTAGTTACATATATGAATGAGCTTAGTTTTCAACACTAAGTCAGTCTTAGTTTCAAATTATCGATAAAAGAGATGATGTTAGCACTGGGGTTATTTCTGACTCCAGTGATATTTATGTTTCAAGGTAAAATATCCAGACAGAGGGGAATAACTGCCATCGGATCACCAACAAATATAATTGTAGAAAAATAAAAGTAGGTAACTCTTGAAACGTTTAGCCCCATCCATCAGAAATGTTATATATATATGTATATATGAGACGTTTTTCGGTGAAGACAAAAACGTACACAGATTCCTCAAACATAAACGTACAAATTTAATGACAGATACAATCCAATTCACTTAAAAGTTACAGAATCGAGAGAGAGAAAGAGAACTTCAAGACCTATTTTACAAAAGTTAAGCAAACGATATGGAGAGTTAGCTACTGGGGTCTACTACCAACCCACAAATTCTAACCACTATTTGAAAATGCAACTAGTAAAATGTTTAAGTAATAGAACAAAACAGCTAACTAATATACGCCAGAAAGTCTGTCACAGAAAAGAAAGCATCTAAAAGAAGCCTTAGCAGCTAATAATTACCAGGATAAATTTATCCGATGTCTTTGGGTTACATTTCATGTGCTTATGAACTGTAAGTTATGTTCGAAGTGCTATCCAATGAATAATACTGTTTCATTGTGTCGTGTATCCGTTAGAAAAACTAATATGAAACCAAATATCACCTTAGTGCCTTGGTTTTGCACAGGCATTCAGTCTGAAGTTTGATCTTTCATCTTCTTAGTCAAAATAAGTAAAGATATCTTTGGTAATTTGGTTTTTCACTTTTGATAATTAAACTGTACATTACAACTATTAAAGTAAATGAGTTATAAAAACAACAAATCTGCTTGCAAATAGGATTAAGTCCACTTTCACAAGTTTAACAATGTAATCCAGAGATGCACCTCACCAAGTATGTTTAAGTGGTGTTTTCTGCATTGTAGGTAGACTTTGCCAACAGGCTGTTGAATATTTTCTGAACGAGGATGAGAGATTCCTGTGATTTACAGAGTGTACAACCAGAGGACTAATACGGAAAACAGAGAGTTGCTGAGAGTGAGAGGACGAAGCGTGAACAACCCCGCGAAAAAGTTATGTATTAAAACAAAGATTTCATTTAGAACGAAAGACATACACATTGTGTCATTTTATTACATTTAACAGAAACTGTACAAAATCATCATTCTAGACTCTACAAGATAAGAAATGATGCAAGTGAGATTGAAGCATCTGTGATAAAAATGACGATAACAGTGCTCTTTAAAATGGCATTTTATTTATCTATATATTATTGCCTAGTAGAGCTATTACATATTATTATTACTGTTCCCTTTAGCTCCTAGAGGAGCATGGGGCTTCGGTCGTATGTCTCAATTGGGTTTTGTTCTCTGCCAACGTTTTCACCTGGCTCCACGTCTATAACTTAAGTATTATATTATAAATTTAGCAAAGGTAGTTGATGTATTTTTTATTACTTTTGGAACGACAGAATAAAATAATATTGTCAGTGTCGATCAGAATGCAGGTCATTTCCCAGATCTTGACAGTTAATTAAGATCAGTACAAGTGAATAACACGTGCTTTATTAATCTTATAACTAGTCATTTTGACGAATTTAGACAATATGCAGAATGGTATCGACCTGAGATTTAGACATAGTTAATTTCTAAATGTGTATAGTCAAGGACGAGAGTAGGGCAAGACTGTCTACTATCGCCAATGATTTTCCTGATTGCAGTAGATTGGATAATGCGACAGACAGCGGCGGGCAGTGAGGAAACAGGCATAAAATGGACCCACACAAAAAGAGACTTGGAGGATCTGGACCTCGCCGGTGATATATGTCTGATTTCTTGCGAACTGGAAGATATGCAAGTGAAAAGCAACAAGCTGGCAGAATAAGCATCCAGAAAAGATAGGACTTCAGGTGAACATAGAGGAAAGAGACGTAGGTGATGAAGATTCCTGGCCAACAGCCACAGTGACAGCAACAACAACAGACAACAATCAGCCAGCATGAATGGGAGGAACCTGAAAGAAACAACGTCCTTCACATACCTGGGAAGCATCGTTTCAACTACAGGCGGACGGAACTGACGAGGATATCAAATCAGCGAGGATAGGGAAAGCAAGGTAAACTTTCACTACTCTCAAGTCTGCGTGGAGGTCAATAGCACTCAGCATGAAAATGAGAATAAGATCCAGATTTTCAACTCCAATGTGAAGTCAATGCTATTATACGTTTCAGAGGCTTGCACTGCGCGTCACGAAGGCCACTTCAAACAAACTGCAGACCTTCATCAACAACTGTTTTCGCCCAATACCACTGCAGATCAGATGGCCGGACAGTAAAGATCATCAACAGGGATCTCTGGCAATGAATGAACCAACCAGGAACCGACTGTGCAACGAACAGGCAGGAAGAAATGGAGTTAGGTGGATTGGCCATACTCTGAGAAAACCATCAAGTGACATCACTAGACAAGCCATCGCTCGAGTGGAACCCGAAAGGGAAGCGGTGAGTTGGTCGTCAGTGCAAGGGTGACTTGGAGGAGGTCATGTGAAGAGCAGATGAAAACATGTGGGCAGAAGTGAAGCCAGGTGAAAACTCTAGCAGAGAACCCAAGGCAATGGAGACGCGTGGCTGAAGCCCTACGTTCCTCTAGGAATTAAAGGAAATAATAATAATAAAGTCGACAAACAGAATTTTAGTTTTGATAGTTTTAGATGATGAGTCACAGTGGATTTCAGATTTTGCATACAGATTACTTTATGTGAGTGAATGCGCTACCAGTTTACTGTTGATGCTCATATAAAAAATCATCACCAAAGGATAATTTGACCAAGAAAACGGCTTCATCTCTTAAATTCTTGATTTATGTCGCTGAAAACAGTCCGAACTATAGTACTGAATGATTTAAGTGATAATAAATTACTTGTGTAGACCTATAGGTATTTTAAGATATACGACAAGGATCCAAATGCTTGGCAAAATCTTCATTCATTTACAATCCGCGACAATTGTTTCGCATTGCAATAAATTCATTTCACGTCAAATTTCACGCTCAAATAAGTGGAATTTAGGTGGTTAATTTGAATGGATCAGTACATTTTATTGTGGAAAAAGTCATCTTAAGCCGTTGACAGATTGTAATTATTATTTTTAAATTTACTACATTTGAGCACTAAACTCTGAAAGTCGGCTGATAAGTAGTTTTATTTGATCTTAGATTAGTGATCAGTGATTTTTCTTCAGAAGATGCGCCCTGTTTCACGCATTGATGGGAATATTGAAACCTTGATAGTCACATTGATATAAACATTTCAAACATAATGTTAAACTGTGGTGCATCAAAGTGTTCTACTTAACTAGTTGTGAAGATCTTTTATAATGAATTCTCATGCAAAAAATGCCATTTGTTAGAGGGTTGTTTATACCTCACCTGGTGACGTTAACATTTCTTGAAAGGTGTGAATGTGGTACAGAAGAATTTCATTTCCCCAATTATGTTGGGTCAACATAATTTCATAATTGTAGATTTTTTGTGTATTTGAAAGTGAAATCTCAGTGCCAGTTTGAAGTTTAACAAGGTATAGCTAATAACAAAACGATTCAGAAATGTAATTTTATCCCTTAGCACTTGTAACCTTGTCCTGATTATTATTTTTTTGCGGTTTATAAAATTGTTTTTCTGGTTTCAATCCTTGATAACATCTTTAAAATCGCCTAAGAGATCATTGATAGATAGAATAAAGGGATAGTCTAATTGCACAGTCTGATTAACTTAACTGTCTGGTTTGTAGTTCTGCTTATGGGTGACGTGAGTTCAAATTTACAGGACTGATCACGGGCTGATGTCAGTTAGAGAACCATTGGAGAACCTGCGAGCACTGGAAAGAAATCTCGTCCTAGTTTGAGCCTCTCCATCGGTGGGCAGTCGCCATAGGAGGCTCGAGCCCAGGACCTTTCGGTTACTAGGCGAGCTCGTAAACCATTAAGTCACTGGGACCCAACTCAATGGTTCATGAATTCCAACTTCTGCCAATTCACGATATATATATATATTTAGCGGAACCGCCAATCAGAATAACGGGCGAGTAACTATCCTCTAGCCTAGCTTGGTGAACTCCACCGGTTACGACTTCTGACTAAATGTAAATCACAAACTGGCAGAAGTTGGAATTCATGAGACATTGAGTTGGGTCCCCAGTGGCTTAACAGTCAGGAACTCGCCTCTCAACCGGAAGGTCCTGGCTTCGAACATCCTGTGGTGGGTGCGTGCCGATGAGTAGTCCCAAACTAGGAAGGAAGAGCTTTCCAATGCTTTTAGAATTTCCAATGGTTCTCAAACTAATATCAGCTTATGATGAAATCCTGTAATCAATCAAATTCCTGCAAACACAACACTTGATAATTCAAATTTCTCAATAAAAATGAGTTACCTCACAATCGTATTAATATGCCATACTAACAAGTGGCAAGAGGTATAAAAGCCAAGTCAATGCAAAAAACACTTTTAACATTACTAGGAGAGATTTTATAAGTCTACGCCCACATTCCTATAAATTATCTCAAAGTCTAAATAAAATCATGTAGTGTGAAATTTAATGATATTATTTTAGCTACTTGTTAGTAGTATAAAAATTGCTTGTTTTTTCTACAGATTCGGTTGAATATGGTCACACTAAGCATGGTGTATGTAGTGTCATATTAACACACCAGTGCAATAATTTATCCAAACCTGTGTGTGTACGATTTCGTGCTGTAATAATCTCCTGTTTTTTTATACCGTAAATTTTAGAGAAGACAGTTAATATACAATTCAATAAAACAGTCAATAATTCTAAAAAGCTTTTTGGCGTCACATAATTGTGACGATTTAATTCATGCTTGAATAATTCTGTATTTCTAACCACTGACTGGTGCATATCAATATACATTTGAACTAATGCTTTGAGTGTCTCTTTGTTAACTTCTAAATCAGACATATTTTGTAGCATTCTCAATGCAACTGATTCAAGCGCTTCATTTGGCCACTCACTAAACCAATCAATAGTACAACACTTGACTAAGGCAGAGAATTGTCTTAAACGTGTACGAAATATTTCACCAATAGGACTCATTGTAATTACTGCATGTAGGTTGGCTCGTACACGTTTAGTGTAACACGAAAATAAATTTATTTTAGTTGGCTGTAGACCAGCTTCAGCGGCGACTAATTTCATGGAGTCATAGATTTTATCGAATTCATCTAGTTGGTATATATATTCAGCACATCACCAGCATTTATTATTATTATTATATCCTTTAATTCCTTGAGGAACATAGGGCTTCAGCTGCGCGTCTCCATTGCCATCACCAGCATTTAGTATATTGTTAATATCCTCTAAAAATGATTCTGTTTTTATCTGTAATGCGAAATGAAAAAAAAAACAAGGAAATCAACAATAGTGTTGCTTGAGTATATATATGCCTAGGCGGGAGTAAACTGCTCAAGAAAGAGCAAGTTAACTCTATGTAATATTTAAATACAAATTTCGTCTTCCAAAAAAAATCATTTGAGTTATTCTACTTTAAGAAGACGATTGCAGTAAAGAAAATTTTCTTTTCGACGAAGTCATCATCTAGGCTGTACATTCGTGTATTTATATCAAATGGATGGGAAAGTTCCAGAATAATATCCGGTTAAGGGTCAAATTAATAAGAATTACAATTGGGAATTAGAATGCCACAATAAACAGGGGGACGGATAAAACTCAAACAAAGTAGCATCATAATAACTAAGATGATTGACACTATGCAATCGGGGTCAGAAATGTAGAAAATAACAAAAACAGACAGGATGTTTGGATAAAAAAAAAACTAATGTGATGAATAATTGTTTATGCAATCAGGGATTAAATATGTAGAAAGAGTAAAATGAAAGAATAAACACGAAGTTTGGGTATGAAAATATAACAAACTTAAAATAACATGAATAAACAGGGAGTTCAGAATAGAAAGGCAATGGGATGGTCATTACTAAAAAATCACCTGTTTATGATGGCCATGGCAGGGACACGGGTTGGACGTATTTCTTTTGTATACAAAGCGTGGGTTTGAGCTTTTGGATAGCTAGCGCCTCGGCTATGTCCAGATGTCTTGATTTCACTCGCTTTGATAAGTTTGGTTGAACCTTGTATATTATTTTGAAGGATTTTTCGAAAGGCGCTGAATGTCCTGAATTGACCAGATGTTCTGTCACTGAACTGTATACACGCTTTTGGTTTCCTTTTACTAACCAGTCTGGGTAGTGTTCACGAGCGCGTTTTTCAAGTCGGCGCACGGTACGGCCGATGTATTCAGCTCCACAAGAGCAAGTAAACTGCTGTTGATGCTAATGAAAGTCTTTTCGAGATGGTTAAAGTTGAGACAACGAGTTGATCGTCGTTAAAGGCTCTGTTCGACGATGGTGCGTAATTTTGCAATCCAGTCAACGTATGAATTGTTTTTCTCTCCATTCAAGGCATCTTTCGGTTTTTCCAAGGTGACGAGACCTAATATTTTTTTGTAGCAAATATGAGCTTGATTTCGAGTCAGTCCTTGCATAGGCCAACCAGTTACTCAACTATCTAACAATTAGCACCTCATATGTACACCAAGTGATTTACAACTCATGACAACAACCCACTATTGTCATGTTGGTTAAGTCAAAGCTTTGTATTTAGAATAGTGAGTGTCATATCTGAAAATATAGCGTATAACAGCAATGTAATAATGAAAACAACGCTTATAAGTAATTGACTTGCATTTTCCTCTTAGTAATCATGCTGGACAGTGTTTTGAAATAAGTTTGGTAAGTGTGAGGTTTGTGCAGTTCTACAGAAGTAGGTGACTTTATAAACACACATTAAAGTTACCCAAACAAGCACTTCATCATTCACACTGATCATTCGCCCAGTGTAGGAACGGGACCGTACCTCGGTGAAAAAAATGCTTTTCTCAATGATCTGAATATATGGTTCTTCAGAATCTCAGTCTAGGTAACACTTTTAAATCCAACATTCATAACAGCAATTTCTTCGACACCATGTGGATTCCTTTGCTCTGATGTTTATCTTGATAAATCTTGTTGGGCATACATTTCGATCGAGGACTTGATTGAGTCGCTTCAATTCATCATAGTTTGTAACACTGATACAATTCCTTGATATCCTTCTCAAAGGGATCCAATGATGGAAATGCTGATAATACTATGCTAAGTCGACCTTCTGAAAAAAACATTTAAAGAAATGAACTTTAGAGTTGAGCTTGGATTCCAATGTGAACTTGTTTCGTGTGCATTTTTGTTTGTGTCTTTACTATTATTCTGCAGTTCCTACTTCAATTAAAAACATTGTACACCCACACTTTCAGGACTATATCATTTATTTCAATTTGGTCCACTTGAAAGCTTCGCCTATTATGGTCCTTAGCTGAATGGTAGACTGGATGGAAGTGGTAAAATGTGTTGGCCAGCAAAAAATCTGCACTCGTCACACTCTTGTACACAATCAACACACTCGACTGAAAAAATTCTTTAATCTATCATCCACAGAATCAATACAATGATGATAATGATTATTCGTCGGGAGGACTACTACTACTACTACGGGATTGTTGTCTATTTCGACATCTAACGTCGTATCCAGGGGGAAGACTTTTGTCTCAAATCTCATTCGCTGTCATTCATTCTTTTATGTCAATGCAAATGTCTTCCGGTTACATAGTGACTACGTTACTACAAAACAATAATCTCAGAGTGTTTTTATGCTTCAAGTTGTTTCTTGAAGTTTCAGTAATAATTATAATAATAATCACTTTATTCCAAACAACAGTAATCACTATACAGAATGGGATTTTCAGCATATTTATACATATTGCAACAATTTAGCGCCTTTTATAAATATGTACATACATAAGATTTAAATAATAATAATAATAATATTATCATTATTATTAATAAAGAAATCACTATAAGGAGAATGATGTTGGAAGCATAATGAAGTGTATAAGTAGATAGTATCATTATAATAATAATCATACATGTAGCACTAATGTTTGCCAATACTTTGCACTTCAGTTAATGATTCAAAAAGTTTATAAGTTCTTTTCTGACTCCTCACACAACGCCCGTTCTAAATATGGTATGGTAGGATTTTTATATTTAGTTGTACGAGCGTAAATTCTTATGAAGTTTCTTGCTGTTTTATCCTAAGAGAGACAAGGTAAAAGTTGAGGATAAGTAGAGAGGATGTTCAGTATCAGACAAGATAACTTTAGTCAAATGCTTTCCAAAAATTGAATTGAAGTGCCTATGGACAGTAATGTCAGTTAGATGAGCCAAAGGCATACCAACAACCCAGAGTGTTTACAGTTTTCAGTGTTCTGTGTGATATGACGTGGTCTTTTCTGAGGCAAGACACGGGAGCCAAGGTATATTTTTCATTCATCAAACCTCTGTTTATACATCTACAATCTATATTCGTTAACCAATCACTGAGCCTGTGATTTCGGTTTACATTAAACGAGATGAAATAGAATGATCAAAGATACATAGTATTCTGTTGTTAATACAGTCAGTATATAACCGTGGGAAAAGTATTCTTTCTCTAAGATCAAATATGATGTTCAAATGGATATGAAGCGGTAAATAATTCCCCAAAATTATTGACCACAGCAATCACTCACCATTGGATGCTGACCACCACTGTTTAAGTCGACTTGTTTAGCCGAAGGCTTCCGGTAAAGCATCCCCGTCGTGTCACGTGCACAATCACTAGCTAGCTAAGCGTTCGTCTGAAGGCTTGTTTTGGTCCCGAAATATATCACTTAGTTTGGACGATCAAATATTGGCTTTTGCTTTGTTGTTGGTACGCGAGAATAATTTAGAGGCTGTGTAAGAGAATTCCGTCAACCCTCTAAACTGGTGAGCCCAACCGCGAACTTCATACACGATAAATCCGCAGATAACCCCGGTGAGTTCGTTCCATTTTTTATTTGTTCTTGTACCATATATTATTCGACATAATTTTCGTCATGAGTGATCTTAGTCCCAAGGTCATTCGTATCCGCTCAACTCCTAAAACCATTCAGCTCGTACCATACTGGCCATATAATGCTGAAACGTGGTTTCAGCTAGCTGAAGCAGATTTTTGTCAGCATGGGATAACCGATCAACGTTCACAGTTACTTGCAGTTATTCACGCCCTACCGCGGGAATTCAGCAAATACGTAACATCACAGATGTTCAGTCCCGAGGTAAGTAACTCGTACGAGTTGCTCAAAGCATCCCTCCTCAGGAGAAACGTTCTCACGGACCGACAACGTCTGGACGAATTATTTCGTAACATCGAGTTAGGAGATCAGTCAGCCGTGAGCATGCTGACAAGAATGAGAGAAGTTGTTGGCCAAAGTCAGTTCGACGAAGGACTATTTAGAGAACTCTTCTTAACCAAGCTGCCACAGTCTGTACAGACCGTACTTGTGACACTTCAGGGTACTGTAATAGAGGACTTAGCTATTACTGCAGATAGGATTCTAGAAATAACTAAGCGGTCAGTCCCCGAAATATGCTCGATGACTAAGCAGACTTCAAGTAAGGATCCTGCAATGATAGAGTTATGCAACTCCCTTCAGCAGATGTTTAGGTCAAACATGCATTCTAACTCCTCCGACCGTGGTCCTAAATCTCCTCAACGCAGAAACTCACGTGGTAGATCTAAGTCAAAACCACGCTCACTGAAATTTTTTTTTTTTTTTTTTTACCACAACACCTATGGCCAAGAAGCGAAGTGTTGCCGTAAGCCTTGTAACTTCGGAAATGTCTCAAAGTCTGCGGGAAACTATCCCGCCGGTACGCGTTAGCGGCGACTGTCGCCGGTGGCACTAGCCGCCTACTTTACATCCATGATGTGATAAGCCAGACTCGATATTTAGTCGACACAGGAGCCGAAGTCAGCGTCCTTCCTGCTACAGCAGCAGATCGACAGAAGGAACCTACCTTCAACTTACAGGCTGCAAATGGAAAACCAATCGCAACCTTTGGTAGGAAATACGTCAATCTGAACGTAGGTTTACGCAAACCTATTCGATGGATTTTCTTTCTCGCTGACGTTACAATGCCCATCATTGGCACGGACCTACTTAATCATCATGATTTACTCGTAGACGTCCGCCGAAAACGACTGATTGACAATACTACTAG